CTCTCATCACAACAAGACTCTACACTGTGCAGGAAAAACAATTACATACATGAAAATAACCTTGATGCATGGGAATTAAACACACAAACTATCAGATAAATCATCAGAAGAAGGCAGAGAGGAAGTAAATAACAACAGGAACACGGAAGGCAGACAGAATTGCTTAGACACGGGTGTCACAGGAAATTTAAATGTTCTGGAAAGTTCCTTATACAGCTTTAGCCTTTTTTATCTCATGAAGTCCCAAAGTGACACACACTGAACAGTCTGGGGTCATGGTCCTTGTCATTTGCTTTTGTCTTCCCATAACAACATGTCCAAGATGTCCATGTGTCAGGCTAAAACATGTGACAGAACTAGCTAGATTTGGAAAGGTTTTTTGTTGATAAAGTTAATATTCAAGCCATTTAAGAATAAAAATGCTTACATGACATGTCATTTGTTAAACATTAAGCTGTCTTCGGCTCTCTTTCTGCTGTAACAAATGTAATGTCCCACATCCTGTGGGACTAATAAAAGGTATGCTCTGATTACATTACATAACCTGTTGTGGAAACATTTCTTGATGAAATTGATATGACACAAATGCCATAAATATGGCTGTGACACATTGTTGTCACATCGGGACTTTAAACCTAAACATTCACAGTAAACCCGGAGTGACATATATGCACAACTAGAAATATGATTATGGTCTGGTTCATTAATTTAGCTGATCAATTATATTTAGGTTAACATATGCTTTATTCTTCAATTCATAGTATGTTCAAACAAATGCAAACCAAAAACATCATCCTTCTCGTTAATTAAGTTATAAATAAGAAGTACTTTACCGATTAAAGCCCAGATATTTGACACTAGGGGGTTTACTTGTCAGAAATGTGTCTATTTAGTCTAGATGACGTTCCCTTTAATTCCCCAAAAGTAGAAATTGGGTCCGGGTTCTTATGGTTTAAGACTTATAGGCTTAAAGGCATAAGAGAACTACCGTATTATATGTATTCAACTTGTGCCCGGCTGGACTTACTTTTCTGTGGTTTACCGTTACTGTGACATATCAGTATAGCCACGGAAGATAGTTGTGTGTTTAATTCCCATGCATCAAGGTTATTTTCATGTATGTAATTGTTTTTTTCCTGCACAGTGTAGAGTCTTGTTGTGTGAGAGGAGATACAGGTATTTCATAAATAAACGTGCTCCCTGGGTGGAGTTAGCTACAGAATTTGGATAATCACAATTTAATCGGAGCTGATCACAAGTTGTCATGACTGATCCAGTCATCTCGATGAGCGTTCGGGCTGTGAATAAACAACTGTGTTTTTACTTTTAGGGCTGTCTGAAGGTATGGACACATTCAAAGAGCACTATACATCACATTAAAGAACGATGAACAAATGAAAGGTCGGACACAAATATATAATTTAAATGATTTATTGAAGTTTGCAATTTTTGAACAGGCATCCACACAGTCACCTACTTTGTAATGTCCGATACCTCCCTGTAAGCGTCACGATATCGGCCCTCCTCACCCACAACCTCACATACGAGTACTGGAATGTGGCAGGCAAAGTGATCTTAGGAAGGTCAGATATAGCAAGAAGATGAACGTAAACGACAAACGATGTTTCTTTCCTGGTAAGTCAACAAATGGGTCCTCAATGTACACGCCGCCGGAATCCTATGACGAAATAATAGAATGTCGCCAGTTTGTCATGACTCAACTTATACTGCCAACACCGCGCGATGCCCGGAGTAACACGCTCAACCCTAGCTCTCGCTCGCGAATGTATGGACTAATATAAAGGCAGTAAATCCACCTTGTTTGCTGTAAAGGTAGTCCTGGTGGTTCAAGTTGACCCAATCTTTGAGCACCGCGGTCATCACTGTATCATGCCAAGTAGCATTGAGTTAGTGATACTTCAGATAACGTCTGCATCATCCGCGACACCAGCAGGTGTTCGTCTTGCCTGCGATATGAGCACTCTGTAAAGCCTAAAACTAAACACGATTGCATGTTCTCAATTTTGTATCTTCGCTCACTCATCTTTGTGACACTCAACAATTATTGGCACGCCTAAATCCTAAAAGCTGCGAAGCATTGGCTTAGATGCTGTCTAGGTTTCTCACTAGAATCTGGAGTAAATGTAGAGTAAACGAAATCCAAGTATGGTCTACAAGACACGCTTGGTACGTATAACATATACAATTGAGCTTAAAGTGTTTTGTAATACGCATCATTGATCCTAAGTCAATCGCAATAGTAACCCTACAGCTAAGTCAAAACCACTTGAAAAAAATGTGTAGATATCACTAAATGCTAGATAAGATGGGTAACTTTAACGGTATTATTCAGAAATACCGTCTCACATACCACATGTGAAGACTCTCTCCACACACAACTGACACCCAAAATCATTTAAAGAAACATGTCAAAAATCTGCTCAGTATACTACGAAATGTGACACACACACATCACACACACACACACACCACACACAACACACAGTCTTGCCTATATGCTTATGCAAACTGTTTTCACATTATCTCTAATAAGGCATTGCCCATTTTCTTTAAGAGGAGTGGGGGCCTCTTGGGCCCAACTTATGTTTTTGTCAGTTATTTATTAGGGGAAACACTTGATGATGGCTAGCAGCAAGTAAAGTTGAATATTTTTTCGTGAAGCATTGATAAATATTTTTCAATATCTGTTTCACAGAACCGACTGCGCTAACGGAGAGAAGTTGAACCGGGAGAAAACAAAACAGAGGAGGTGAATGTCATTCTTTTATTAAACACTGAAACAATCGTGTGAATAAGCTAAATTAGTTGCCACCTTGATTTTGGACCATGTTTGATTGCAAAGGCCAGGAAGCATTTGTTAGAAACATTAAACAGTAACTATATACAATATCTAGGGAACTTGATAATACAAACCTACTAATTATATCCCTGAAAAATTGGTCACAAGACTATTAAGCACTTTACTTCTGCATTGTATACTTGCAATGAAGATCCTGGCTCTGAAAACTTGCAACTCCAATCATTTGTATTGACTGTTTTTGTCAGGACCACACGAAGGAACAAACACGAGCTGGATCAAGACCAACTAATCGCTGAATCAAAGAAGAAAGACAGCACAGCCATCAAGGATCTTGATGGCAGAACTTTTGCACATTAGGAAGAACATGATGTCATCAGTCTAAGATGAGCATCGAAAGACTATCAAGGGACAGATGGCCTGTCTCGTTTGATGTCTCGCAAGTGAGTTAAGGGAATGTTTCTTTAAGGCAGTGCGTCAACACAGACATTATAGACTGATAACCTGCATTTGTCACAGTTTTAATCCTATTGAAAGCTATATGGACTTTAGTTTTGATGGATTGAAATGACAATGAATTTAATCATAAGTATTTTTTTCTCTTTTCTCATCTTCTCTCTTTCAGGTCAGCGCAGAGTTTCAGGAGGATCACCACACTGAAATCTTGAAGCCAAAGTTCATGTCAATGTTGGACTTCTATTCCCAAAACTGTTGTCCATTTCCAAGAGGAAAAAAGGGGGCTGTCGGAGAGCGGGACAACGGGCAAAAATGAGTGTTCTACTTCAGGTATTAACATGTTTATCCCCCCACTTATACAGGTTACTTTCTTAACTGCCTTAATAATTCCACCTGTCTCAATTGCAGTTTATTTCCTTTGTGTAAGTTAATTACAATCACTAATTACTTTTAGATATTCATTTATCCTAATCTGACAACCTCCTCTTTAAACCCTCTGACTTCTCTCTTCCTGTTCAAATCTTGCATTACTTTGCAAACTTCTCATATTATTCATCTCATGTCTTTCCTTAAACGAGTTATTGTTTTTCTCCCTTAGTTTCTGCCCCTTCAATTTATCCACATCTTCTAAGACACCCCCACCACCATGTAAATATATATATATTATATATCCAATCAGCATGGCTTCTTCTCGTTCTTCTGTTTCATATGCCAAATGTTCCATGTTTTGTTTTATTCTTGCCACCTACTTTGCATCCCTCCACAACATACTATACTGACAATGTTTCATTTCTTTAATGTTAATTTAAATTGAAACAGTTTGACATTAAAGTTTTACAGTAAAGCAACAAATTCAGCTTGAGTAATGTGCAGAGTTAATACATTGTATTAGTTGTTGAAAGACTGCTCTTTCTGCAGAGTGGAATCCCCATTCAGCGAAAACGAGAGTTGTCATCCGATGTTCTCATGGACCATCTTTGGAGAAGATGCGAGTGCCTTGATCAAGGACTTTGAGGTANGGTTCCTATGTCTGATTGGCTGGGCGGATTGCAAACCACGCCCCGTAAAACTCCCAAAACGTTTTGTGAAGCCGCCATTTTATTATGCTCGCATTAGCATTATTAGCATTAGCCCAGCGCAGAAACGCAGAGAGACTAACTTATGGCAACACAAAATAAAACATGGGAGCGGTGGAGATGAGGAGGTGTCGGCGTTCTGGCGATTTACTCGGAAGGCTTCAGTAGAAGCTGCTGGGAGTCCCAGCAGCTTCTACTGAAGCCAGTCCCCAACTCCGGGGACTTCGGGTGGCAGTATACGCCGTGAAGTTGTTTGCGGCCTGCCAGTAAACCCAAAGCAGAAGAAGAAGAAGTGACGTCAGCGGCTTCATTTGCCTAATCCCTCCCCCAGGAACTTATTCCGGTGTGAACGCGCTCTGTACTTAGTTCATGAGAACTAAAGAGTTCTCAGGAACCTTTGTGGGAAAAGTACTGCGGTGTGAATGCGCCTTATGTGTTGTTGATTTCTAGTCCTCACTCAAAATATTCAAAATGTTGCTGCCTTTTCGCTCCGTAGTGCCCATATTCTGTGTAAAAGTACTCGCGACTAAAAGATCTTATTACACCGCTTAGTTGAATACTCAATTCTGATTGGTCAATATGGATATTTCAGAGGTTGCCAATACTGTTGTGTAAAGACCTTAATGCTACTTTTCAGATTAGTGTGCTTTACCTTCATCAGTTTGCTAATCAGCAGCAGAGTAGGGAAGGTCTCCTCACTGAGCTCAGGAGCTAAACACAGGAAAGATAAACTGTTAAAGTATCACCCACTCACAGCAATATATCTGAAAATAGAGCAGTTCCTTCCTCATAGATAACGCCGGATACCAACAGGAAACAGGTGGGAGATTAACTAAATATAATAAGAGCTATTTGAGTTTGTCAACAATAATACTGAAACTATAGAGTGTCTAACTCACAGATGATCTTCCAGTAGTGTTTGTTCTGCATGAGTGGGTGGAAGGGCAGTCTTCTTTTGGGCAGGAGGTTTGGCATCAAGCTGTTTTCCAGAAGATACTCGGTTTCCACTTCTGAGGGAGGAGAGACTCGCTTGTAGGACTTCAGGTGCTGAAGGAGGCCCATTGCCTGTGGGAAAGAAAGACAGTGTTAAGAGTCTATATCATATATTTTAAAAAGGGAAGAAACTCTTTAATCTGAAATGTACCCTTGTGTTTTTCTTACCCGACTAACAGAAAAGGTTGTCACAGTGTCATCTGCGGCCTGAATGATCTTCAGCACTACTTCGATCCTCTCGTAGTTATAAGGGCTGAGCTGTATGAGAAAAGCATTTAGAAAGTTAGGTGAACATTATTACATTTAGCTGACACTTTTACCCAAAGCGACTTACAATAAGTGCATTCAACCATGAAGTAACAAACTCAAGAGTCCTGTAGGTACATTTCCTATCCATAAACTAGGGCTGTCAAACGATTAAAAATGTTAATCAGATTAATCACAGCTTAAAAATTTATTAATCATGATTAATCACCATTCTAACTATGTCCAAAATATGCCATTTCTTTATGTATATTGTTGTGGGAATGGAAAGATAAATGAAAGAAGGCGGATATATCCATTTAACATACAGTATGTATGTTTATTATAACATTGTTCTGTGTGTCAAAATGAAAGACAGCCCACACACCTATCAATCATCAAACCCTGGGGTCTTATTTCATTACGTGTTGATTTCTATCAGCACGTAATGTTGTATCGATGTATAGAGAGATGTACTACAGCAAAAGTATTCTCCGTCGGGACTTCCTGCAACAACACCACGCCGTTATCTTGATTCTGATTGGCCAGAAGACATTATCAAAGATGTTTTATTGAGAAGACGATCACTACGTGACAAAAGTTTTCAAAACCGTTTCTAGTCTTCGGTATTTCCAGACAAGTGGCTACTGAAATCAATCTTACTAACTGCTGTCTGTGCAATTTACTCGGCGCGAGTTGGCTGACTTTATTTTGCTTACTTTAACATCATTTTTCGTGGTGGGGCTAAGCCATTTCTTGGTATGGCTGTAGCCTACCCCAGCGCTGCCACTGGTGGGATGTATGAGGCGGGCCATTCTGCACATGCGTTAAATGCTTTAAATATTTTTAAAGCAATTAATTCCAAAAATTAATTACCG